GGAGCCATAGTGGGGAACCAGACTTAACTTTCCACAAGAAGGAGCTTAATTTCCTTGAAGACTTGATCCTGCATTATTTGTTCCATAAACAATAATCAACAGTGTTAATATTAAAAAGCCAGAGAAATATATTTCAGTATCTTTTAATGCACATTTTCAGTGAAACTTTATAATCTTATTAGTTAATGAAATATTTACAGATAAAATGACAGGATGTTTGGGGTTTACTATAAAAATTCAACTAGGAGAGAGGGAGCAATAGAAGTATCCGTGAAACAAGCTTGGCCAAGAGTTGATAGCTTCTGAAGCTAGATGGACAACTGGGGGTTTATTATATCATTTTCTCTGCTTGGGCCTAACTTTGAAATTGTCCAAAACGTTAAAAAATAAATGTAAAAAATTACAACCGTGGAAGGATGTTTTTCTCAGCGTTGCTATTTGGTTCAGTGAGTGTCAAAAACAAAACAACACACCAAAAACCAAGGCGGCCATACATCATTCGGAGCCAGCTTGGTCTTGGTCAGTTGGAAAACAGGAATGTTCTCCAAGGTTAGTAAACTGTAATCAGTTCCACATAGTTTTCAGGCACCGGAGTTTACAAATCGCTGCAGTGTGATTTGTAACTCCATTCATATGTCCACAAGAAATACAGCCCATGCCGATGTTCCCCCCTTGTTTGCTTAGCCAAACAATACTTTGCCACGGCACATTCAGGACAGACCCCAGGACGCCATTTTACGATCCCCAGCACCGCCCTGTCCTTCCGCATTGTTTTCACAGCTCAGAACGTGTTTCCTTTTAAAAAGCAGAAAAAATCAGCAGCTTAACATTGCCCTTTACTACTCCTGACATTTGGTGTCTCAAATATGGGGCCTCCTCCTCCTCCTCGGAGAGGCCCTCCTCCAACGGGAATGTGCTTTGACGAGGCCCGCGGGCTCTCCCTTCCCAAGCCTTGCCCTTCTCTCCACAGCGTTTTCCCTCTCAGCTCACCCCCAGACCACTCGGCTTGGGCCCGGATGGAAGGGAAGTGCTGCCATCTTGGGGCCTCTCCCTTCCTGGTCCTCCAGGCACAGCCTCCCGGGCCCGGCGTGAGCTGGAGACGAAGGTTCCGGGAGCGAGGAAGGTTCCGGGTCCACAGCCCCGTGCCTGGTTGTGCACCTCGCTGGGGCTCCTCAGCAGTGGGGTGGTCACCAGCCCTCTCTCCTTAGCTTCCGCTCTCTTTCAACCTGAGTGATTCTGACTGGAGACCCAGCTTTCCCCCAGTGCCTCACCCAGGGACGGCAGCCACCTCCCAGGCCCTCACTGGGCCTCCTCTCAGACTTCCCTCCAGCTCTTCCCTTGTGCCTCCCATTTTGGCCATGTGCGCTGCGAAGGTGCTTCTCATTGCAAGGAGGCCCGGTTTCCCGAATCTGCCAGAGGTGGGGTTTGCTGGGGGCTTTTTCACCCTAAAAGCCTTTTATTTTATTTTAAGATTTTATTTATCTGACAGAGATCACAAGTAGGCAGAGAGGCAGGCAGAGAGGGGGTGGGGAGGGGGAAGCAGGCTCCCTGCTGAGCTGAGAGCCCCATGCAGGGCTCGATCCCAAGACCCTGGGATCATGACCTGGGCCAAGGGCATAGGCCTTAACCCACTGAGCCACCCAGGCACCCCCCTAAAAGCCTTTTATTTTTATTATTTTTTTAAAGATTTTATTTATTATTTGACAGACAGAGATCACAAGTAGGCAGAGAGGCAAGCAGAGAGAGAGAGAAGGGGAAGCAGGCTCCCCGCTGCCCAGAGAGCCCAATGTGGGGCTCGATCCCAGGACCCCAGGATCATGACCTGAGTTGAAGGCAGAGGCTTTAACCCACTGAGCCACCCAGGCGCCCCCCCC